ATATATATTATATATATATATATATATATATATAATATATATATTATTATATATATATATATATATAAAGAGAGAGAGAGGGGAGGAGGGGAGAAAGAAAAAGAGAGGGGGATGGGAGAGAATTAGAGAGAGAAAGGTCTTCAAAAATTTAATTGTTTAGAAAGAAAATATCACGAAGATGAATAAGATGAAATAAGAAGACATTGATATCCAAGTCACAGAGAAAGGAGAGAAACTCCAATAAAAAGAGAAATGGAAGAAACGCCTATTAAAAGAGAAAACTGGAAAAAGAAAACTCCGAATGAACAGAAGAAATGGAAAGCAACTCCAACAAAGATACAAACGACCGGAAAAAACTCCAATAAAAGGAGGAATAAGACAAGAAGAGAAGAGACGGGCCAAGCACGGGAACCGACCCCAAAATAAAGGGGGAATAGATACGGGCAAGCACGGGAACCGACCCCACAAAATAAAGGGAGGAATAAGACAAAAAGAGAGAGAGAGAAAAAAAATAAATAAATACACGGGGCAAAGCACCGAGAACGGACCCCACAAAATAAAGGCGGAAGAATAGACAAAAAGAGAGAAGAAAAAAAATAATAAATAAATACGATGGGGCAAGCACGGGAACCGACCTAGCAAAATAAAGGGCAGGAGGAATAAGACAAAAAGAGAGAGAGAAAGAAAATAAATAAATACGCAAAGCATGGGGCAAGCACAGGGAACCGACCCCAAAAAATAAAGGGAGGAAGAAGAATTAAAGACAAAAGAGAGAGAGAGAAAAAAAAAATAATATAAATACGTATAGTGGGGCAAGCACGCACGGCAAACCGACCCACAAAACATAAAGAGAGATAATAAGGACAAAAAGAAGAAGAGAGAAAAAAAAAATAAATAAATAACACGGGGCGTAAGCACCCGGGAACCAGACCCCACAAAAATAAAGGGAGGAATAAGAACAAAAGTGAGAGAGAAAAGAAATATATATACGACGGCCAAGACGGGAACCAACCCCCACAAAATAAAACAGGGAGGAATTTAAGACAAAAAGATGAAAGAGAGAAAACAAAAAAAATTACGATGGCAAGGCACGAGAACCGACCCCACAAAATAGGCCGAAGTTCACGGAAGTTACCACAAGGGGAGAGCATGAGAACAGAAACCACGAGAGATGTCATGCAACCCCTTCCTTGTGCTTCCCTGGGCGGATCTTGCGAGAAGGTTGTCAGCGACTGCACGCGGGCGGTACGCCGGGGGGAGTGGAGTTGGGGGTGGGGGAGTAGAGAATGTTGGTTGAGGGAAGAGGAGGGAGAAGAGGCGAGTGTTAGGAGAGGAGAGGAGGGTATACGGTAGAGAAAGGAGGGAGGAGTTTAAGGAGAGGAGAGTGGAGGCAGAGGGAGAAAGGGAGCGGAAGGAGAGAAAGGAGAGAGGGAGTGGGGAGAAGGGAGAGGGAGAGGGAGAGAAGGGGTATAGAGAGGTCGGGAGGAAGGTAAGGGAGGAGTGGGCGAGGAGGGAAAGGGGAAGTGGGGGAGATGGGGAGTGAGGAAAGAGTGGTAGTCGTAAGGAGAGGAGGGGAAGTGAGAAAGGAGAGGGAAGGAGTGGGGAGTAAGGAGAGGAGTTAGTGGGGGAGGAGTGGCAGGGCAGGGAGTGGGAAGAGGGGACGATCGGGGGGGATGGTGGGGAGGAAGAAAGGAAAGGGAAGGAGTGTGAGGGATGAGGAGGGCGAGTTGGAGCGTGAGGGAGAGGATATATTAGGAGGATGAGGGAGAAGGGGAGAGAGTGGAGTTGTGAGAGTCGAAGAAAGGAGGGAGCTTCAAGGTTGAGGATGTGGAGGAGATGGGGGAGTGAGTGGAGTGTGAGGAAGAGCGAGGAGAGGGTAAGAGTGCGGGAGAGGTAAGTAGTAGGCAGGAGTAGTGAGAAGGGTATGAGAGAGTGGAGTGTGAGGAGAGGAGGGAGGAAATTATGTGCGGGAGTAGGAAGGAGTTGAGTAAGGGGAGGGGGATGTGTGGAGAGGGGAAGTGAAGGTGCTAAGGGAAAATATGGAGGGAATGGGAAAGTAAGAAAGATGTGCGGGAGAACGTAAGCAAAGGGGAAAAGGTGGAATAGTGGGGAAGAAAGGAAGGAGGAGAGGAAGAGAGAAAATGGCGAGAGAGAAAATGCGAGGGATAGCTAAAGTGGGAGGAGAAGGTGAGAATGTTAAAGTGGGAAAGGAGGAGATAATAAAATAGGACAAGGAAGTTTTTTAAGGGGGAAAGTAGGGAAGAGTGGGAAATAAGTGGAGAGATAGGAAATGGGTACAAGAGAGAGAGGAGAGAAGGGAAAAAGAGAAGGAGTAGGGAATGAAGAAGGGAGGAGAGAGAGAGAGGGAGTCAGGTGGGAGAAAGGAAGAAATGGGAATGAGAGGAGAGAGTGGGCAAGGAGAAAGATGAGAAAGAAGAGAAGAAGACGAGAGAGAGAGAGACGACTGATGAGAGAGAGAGATCTGAGAGAGACGAGAGGA